AGTTTAATCCACCTCCCTAGAACTGACTCAAATTCATTCTTTTTTATGGCTGAGTAATATTCCATTATATGTATGTACCACATTGTCTTTATCCATTCATCTGTTTATGGACAGCTAGGTTGCTTCCATGTTCTAGATATTGTAAATAGTGTTGCTATGAACATTGGGGTACATGTGTCTTTTTCTATTATGGTGGGATTGCTGGGTCATATGCTAGTTTTATTCTCAGTTTTTAAAGGAATCTCCATACTGTTCTCCATAGTGGCTATATTAATTTACATTCCCACCAACAGTGTAACAGAGTTCTCTTTTCTCCACATCCTCTCTAGGATTTATTTGTAGATTTTTCAATGATGGCCATTCTGACTGGTGTGAGGTGATACTTCATTGTAGTTTTAATTTGGATTTCTCCAATAATGAGCAATGCTGAGCATATTTTCATGTGTTTATTGGCCACCTGTATGTCTTCTTTGGAGAAATGTCTGTTTTATTCTGCCCATTTTTTGACTGGGTTATTTGTTTTTCTGATATTGAGCTATATGAGCTGCTTATATATTTTGGAGATTAATACTTTGTCAGTTGTTTCACTGGCAATTATTTTCTCCCATTCTCAGGGTTGTCTTTTAATCTTGTTTATTGTTTCCTTTGCTGTACAAAGATTTTAAGTTTAATTAGGTCCCATTTGTTTATTTTTGTTTTTATTTGCATTACTTTAGGAGGTGGGTCAAAGAGGATCGTGCTGTGATTTACGTCAAAGAGTGTACTGCCTACATTTTCCACTAAAGCTTTATAGTTTATCGCCTTACATTTATGTCTTTAATCCATTTTTATTTCTGTGTATGGTGTTGAGGTGTTCTAGTTTCATCCTTTTATATACAGCTGTACAGTTTTCCCAGCACAACTTATTGAAGAGGCTGTCTTTTATTTACTGAATATTCTTGCATTCTTTGTCAAAGATAAGATGCCCATAGGTGTGTGGGTCTATCTCTGGGCTTTCTATCTTGTTCCATTGGTCTATATTTTTGTTTTTATGCTTGTACCTTATTGTCTTGATGATTATAGCTTTGTAGTATAGTTTTAGGTCAGGAAGGTTGATTCCTCCAGCTCCATTTTTCTTTCTCAAGACTGTTTTGAGAAGGCTTTCCAGGTGTCACTAGTGGTAGAGAACCCACTTGCCAATGCAGGAGACATAAGAGACATGTGTTTGATCCCTGGGTTGGGAAGATCCCCTGGGGGAGGGCATGGCTTGAGAAAAAAAAGGTTGCTTTGGCTATTCCAGGTCTTTTGTGTTTCCATACAAATTGTGAAGATTTTTGTTCTAGTTCTGTGAAAAATACCCTTGGTAATTTGATAGGGATTGCACTGAATCGGTAGATTGCTTTGGGTGTGCAGACTCAGTTGTGTCTGACTCCTTGTGACCCCATGGACAGTAGCCCGCCAGGCTCCTCCATCCATGTAACTTTCCAGGCAAGAATACTGGAGTGAGTTGCCATATCCTATAATCAATTTCATAGTATTGATTATTCCAATCCAAGAATATGGTATATCTATTTGTGTCATCTTTGATTTCATCAGTGTCTTATGGTTTTCTGCATATATCTTTTGTCACTTTAGATAGGTTTATTCTTAAGTATTTTATTCTTTTTGTTGCAATAGTGAAGGGATTGTTTCCTTAATTTTTCTTTCTGATTTTTCATTGTTAGTGTATAGGAAGAATGCAAGACATTTCTGTATTTTATATCCTGTGACATTACTGTATTAATTGATTAGCTCTAGTAATTTTCTGGTGGCATCTTTAGGGTTTCATTTTAACTATTTTAAAGTGTACAATTCAGTGGCATTAAGGACAGCTGATCATTGAACAACATGGGGGTTAGGAGCACAAACCTCCATATAGTGGAAAATTTGAGTGAAACCTTACAGTAAGCCCCTCTGCATCAGTTGTTCTGCGTCTGTGGATTCAACCAACAGTAAATTGTGTAGTGTGTATTTATTTTAAAAATCTGCATGTAAGTGGATAAATCCATGTTGTTCAAGGGTCAGCTGTACATTCACAGTGCTGTACAATGATCATCATTATTTAGCTCTAAAACTTTTTTATTACCCCCCACAAAGTAAACTCTATCCTTTAAGCATTCATTTTCCATTCCAACCTTCCTTCAGCCCCAGGCAACCACTAATATGTATTTTTGTGCATTTGTCTATTCTATTTCATATAAATGGAATATAGAACGTGGTCATTTGTGCCTGGTTACTTTTAAACATTTATCTATGTGGTGGTAATTATCAGTACTTTGTATGGCTGTATAATATTCCACTGCCTGGCTATTTGATTATCTAGTCATCAGAACATAGATGTTTGGGTTGTTTCTACCTTTTGGTTACTGAGACTAGTGTTTCTATGAATATTAGTGAGATAACTCATTTTATACTTATTTGATGGGCAAAAATTAAGAAGTGGATGATATCAAGGATTAGGGAGAATTCTTTAAGGGAAGTCACTGATGGGAATATGAATTTGTTTAATCATGCTAGAAAATAGCATTACCTTGTGAAATTGAACTTTTACATCCTATATGATTGAGCAATAGCACTCTTAGATATACACCCATGAGAAACTCTAGCATGTAAGAACCAGGAGATATATATATATAGATGAGAAGGTTAATAGCAGTACTGTTTCTAAAAGCAAAAAACTTGAACCACTTAAATGTGTATTACCAGACATTTCTTTTAAGGAGTTCTGCTATAAAGGGGAGGAAAGAAATGGAGCAGTAGTGGAGATTGGGAATTTTTTTCTTTTTAAGATGGGGGAAAAATAGCATGTTTGTATATTTAAGAATTGATTACATGGACAAGGTGAAAGAAAGAATCATGGAGAAAAAAATTTCTGGAGAATCTGATTTCTCAGATACTGGATTTTTCTCCTAGTTTTAGAGGGTACTGTACATACCCTCCAGTTTTATCTTTCTCTTGCCCTTTCTCAAACTGCTTGACCAAACGGCATATCAACTAAGTACTCAAAGGCTATTTGTGTATCTGTTGTAACTCCTATTGAGCATCTACTTTCTATATCACCATAGAAATCAGATCCAACTTACCATACACCTCAACTCATAAGTTACTGTGTGGCAGTCAAAATGAATTATAGAGTTACAGGCAAAAATATGATGAATCCACTATGTGTAGTGTGATATTCTTTTTTTTTTTTTTGGCTATGCCAAAAAAGCTGCATGGCTTCTGCAATCTTAGTTCCCAGAACAGGGATTGAACCTGGGCCATGCAGTGAAAAGGCCAAGTCCTAACCACTGGACCAGCAGGGAATTCTCATGATATCCTTTTTTAGAATGCTTATTACAAGCAAAATTAAACAATATGTTGCCTTGTTGTTGTGCACTTTCTAAATCCTATCCAACTCTTTGCAACCCCATGAACTGCAGCACACCAGGCTCCCTTGTCCTTCACCATTTCCAAGTTTGCTCAAATTCATGTCTGTTGAGTCAGTGATGCCAACCAACCAGCTCATCCTCTGTCGCCCTTCTCTTCTCCTGCCTTCAATCTTTCCCAGTATCAGGGTCTTGTCCAATGAGTCCACTCTTGGCATCAGGTGGCCAAAATATTGGAGCTTCAGCATCAGTCCTTTCAATGAATATTCAGGGTTGATTTCCTTTAGAACTGATTGGTTTGAACTCCTTGCAGTGCAAGGGACTCTCAAGGCTTGTGTCTCTATAGGCTTAGACATACTATATATGTAATAACATATATGCAAAATTCAGGACAATGATTACCTCTGGGAAGAAGACAGGAAGACAAGGAGAAAAAGAGCACATAGATCTAAATCGTCAGTAATCTCCTAGTTCAGTGGGTCTCAAAATTTCAGTGTGCATCAGAATCCCTGGAAAGCTCATTAAAACCTAGACGGCTGGGAGCCTCCAGAGCTTTTGATTCAGGAGGTGAGTGTGGGGCCTAAGAATATGCATTTCTAACAAGGTTCCAGGTGCTGTTTTAATGCAGCTCTGCTGAGATCAAATACAGAAAACCACTTCCAGTTTATAAATTGGATTGTGGGTTCACAGGCGTTACATTTGCTTTTATTATTAAAATAATATAATAAACTTATGCTATTATTAAATCATTAAGTTAAATGGGAGGGAAAAAAGACGGCCAGTCATAGACCAAAGATGAGAGTATGTCAAGAAGCAAGGTTTAATATGAATCCAGTTCTGGGCTCTGGAGGCATCCTTTTTGAAAAATGCTAGCATTCCCTTACTAAAAGCAAACATGAAAAACACTTCTCTAGAACCTCAGGATCATTTTAGAAGAATACTACTGGCAACCACATTGAGAAATAAATCTGAAGAGTGTTTTTTTCCTTAGGCGCACAGGGAAACTATTCCAGCTTTCTGAATCTCAACAATCTCTGCAAAGACTGGACATATCACAAGCTAAGCTCTTTCATGGGTTCAACAAAAACTGCATTTGTAGAAAAGATTTCTCTTACTTTTTCAGATCTTACCCTTTCCTCAAGTGCTTTATTTAGGTCATTATTTTTCTTCCTTCCCTTCTCCCTCCTCCTTTCTGGATTTATTGTATCCACTAGGTTCTGAGACGAAAATGTATATGATATTTTAGATTCCTACCTTGACCAGGGCTATGTAGAGGGTATACTCCTGCAACTGGTCACTGACAGGAGTTTGAGGAATGCCTGAATATAAAATTCTTGCTCACAAGCAAGTCAGCCTGGAGAAAAACCCCCCCCCAAAAACCAGATCCACAAATATAAAATTTCACCCCAGAGCAGGACACGCAGCATATTATAGAAGGATACAGACTTATTTGCTTTCACAACCTCTCCTACACTCAGCCCGCTCCCACAATTCACAACCGCTGCACAGAGGCCCGCGGAGGCAGGAGCGCGGGCGGGGCGGCGGAGGCCGGCCTTCATTGGCTTTCTGGCCGGAAGCGGCGGTGCGGCCCGGCTGCGCATGCGCCCCTCACACGTGCTTCCAGAACGCCCCCTCCGCAGCTGGAGATCCGCGGGCGTCATGCTGCGAATTTCTGCCTTACGGCTGCTAGGACGCAGGGGGGCGAGGGTCTCGCTCTCTGAGGACTTTAGTTTACGCCAGTACAGCTCGGGCCCTCTTGGTGTCCGCGACGATACCCGCGACTCGCGCGCCTACTTTACCACACCCATTTTCTACGTGAACGCCGCGCCGCACATCGGGCACCTGTACTCCGCGCTGCTGGCGGACGCCCTGTGCCGACACCATCGCCTCCGAGTTCCCAGTGGCGCGGCCACCGGATTCTCCACGGGTACCGATGAGCACGGCCTGAAGATTCAGCAGGCAGCAGCCGCCGCGGGCCTGGCTCCGTCCGAGCTGTGCGACAGAGTCTCTGCCCAGTTCCAGCAGCTTTTCCGGGAGGCTGACATCTCTTCCACCGACTTCATCCGCACCACCGAGGCCCGGCACCGGGTAGCTGTGCAGCATTTCTGGGGGATGCTGAAGGCTCGGGGTCTTCTCTACAAGGGTCTCTATGAAGGTTGGTATTGCGCCTCCGACGAGTGCTTCCTGCCTGAAGCCAAGGTCACCAGGCAGCCCGGCCCGTCGGGGGATTTGTGTCCTGTATCTCTCGAGAGCGGACACCCGGTCTCTTGGACCAAGGAAGAAAACTACATTTTTAGGCTGTCCCAGTTCCGGGAGCCGCTCCAGCAGTGGCTGCGGGGCGACCCTCAGGCCATAATACCGGAGCCATTCCATCACACAGTCCTTCAGTGGTTGGAGGAGGAACTGCCGGACCTATCGGTCTCTCGAAGGAGTAGCCACTTGCACTGGGGCATTCCGGTACCCGGGGACGATTCGCAGACCATCTACGTATGGCTGGATGCCTTGGTCAACTACCTTACTGTAATTGGCTACCCAAACGCTGAGTTCAAATCTTGGTGGCCGACCACCTCTCATATCATAGGTAAGGACATTCTCAAATTCCACGCTATCTACTGGCCTGCTCTCCTCTTAGGGGCCGGCATGAGCCCACCACACCGCATCTACGTCCACTCCCACTGGACAGTCTGTGGTCAGAAGATGTCTAAGAGCTTGGGTAACGTGGTGGATCCCAGGACTTGCCTTGACCGATATACGGTGGATGGCTTCCGCTACTTTCTTCTTCGGCAGGGCGTCCCCAGCTGGGATTGTGATTACTATGATGAAAAGGTGGTTAAGTTGTTGGATTCCGAGCTGGCAGATGCTTTGGGAGGTCTCCTGAACCGATGTACTGCCAACAGGATCAATCCTTCCGGAATCTATCCGGCTTTCTGCACTGCTTGCTTTCCCAGTGAGCCAGGCTCGGCGGGGCCGTCAGGTCGTGCTCAGGCAGAGGACTACGCTCTGGTGAGCGCAGTGGCCACTTTGCCCGAGCAGGTAGCAGACCACTATGATAACTTTCAGATCTATAAGGCTCTGGAGGCAGTGTCCAGCTGTGTCCGGCAGACCAACGGCTTTGTCCAAAGGCATGCGCCGTGGAAGCTGAACTGGGAGAGCCCCGTGGATGCTCCCTGGCTGGGTACTGTGCTTCATGTGGCCTTGGAGTGTTTGCGAGTCTTTGGAACTCTGCTCCAGCCTGTCACCCCAAGCCTAGCTGACAGGCTGCTGTCTAGGTTGGGGGTTTCTTCCACAGAGAGGAGCCTTGGAGAGCTCCATTTCTTATCTCGATTCTATGGACACCCATCCCCTTTTGAAGGGAGGAGACTGGGACCTGAAACTGGGGTCTTGTTTCCAAGACTGGACCAGTCTAGGTCCTGGCTGGTAAAAGCCCACAAGACCTAGAAACTCAGTTTTTATTAGCTTGTGGTAAAAAAATAAATTTATTTTCTTATTTTTTGCATTTTCAGGGAAATTATATTAATGCTTTCTACAGTGTTGCATCAAATGAGCACATAAGTAATGTCCCTGTGAAAAGAGGTTTGATAGCCTTTCAGGAGCCTGCTCCCTACTCTTCAGTTTTCTGTGTCCATTAACCACTGTCCTTTGTACCCCAGTGTCTCTGAGATGTCTCCAGGGGTAAGAGACAACTTTGCTGATACTGCTCCTTCTCACTGTACCTCCGTCCAAACCACAGTTGTTTGCCCAGACTACCTCTCATGGCTTGTTTTTCATTGGCCTGGCTTCTGCTGGGCAAATTAATGAGAGTGGGGGTTGGAGGCCCCCTACCTCAGCTTTTGCTTTGTTATATATGTTGAGTCTCCTGTTGGAAACAGATTGTTTCATTAAACCTTTAAACACCCATGCCCTGGATTAGATGATTTTCGCCTGTGTTTCTATTTTTGATTCTTAACGATCTTGACTCCCAGTTTTGCTAGTTAATTGTCCAGTAGTTGTGCTTTGTACCATTATACTTGAACCGGTAGATGGCTCTAGTCTCATATTTAATTAACACTGAGGTTTCAGAATATTTAAAATAAATTTTCTGCTTTGTAATTTTGCATAATTTAAAGAAAAAATTATATTTTCTTAAAATAAGGATAACTGCAACCACTGCTGTTTTACAGTAAACAATAAAAAAGATCAAAATCCTCATTTCAGACTACTGGAAAAGGACATTCACTCCATTAGATGTTTAGTCAGCTAATAAGTAACTATCACATGTGTTTGGACCATGATAAATTATAAACCTCTCTTGATTTATTTGGTATGTTAAAAATTTTTTAAACTTTAATAATGTTAGGTTTACAGGTGTGATTTAAAAAATCTGTAGAAAGTTCAGAAGGGTAATATTTTCTTTATATTTCTTGGTCTTAACTTTGTTATCCACATATATAATTTACCTTATATGATTTCTTTTGGTCAATCAGTATGTATAATACAATACAGAAATTGTGGAATACTTATTATAAATTTAATATGTTTACTTTCAAGTAGTTTTTATTAATTATTTTGCTCCTTTAACTTAAGTTATTAAAGTTTAAAAGTTTTTTAAGTACCTTATTCAGATCTGTTCTGTTGCGTTTGTTGAAGGTGATGGTGAAAGGAGGAAATGATCAATGCTCCAGGAATCTCAAACTGGATTTAGGGATCTCTCCAAGCCTCCATAAAAGAACATCACAGAGAAGATGTTAAGATATCAATTTATACAGTGACTACAACATAGTAAGCCAGCATTATTTGCCCAGACTACCTCTCATGGCTAATCTCATAGGTGATTAGACAGCTAGGGCAAAGTTTAAAATGAGAACTTGCCTTGAGATATGCATTCTAAGCATGGTAGCAAGCAGAGAGAGCTCACTATGAACTAAACTATTGTGCTGGTAGTTCCCCCAGGTTTATTCTGGGTGCTACTGTTCAGCTCCAGTTTCTATTTATTAATTAGTGTAGTGAGAGATTTCTGGCTGCTTGGAAACATTGCTTAGAAAAGAATGCCCAAAGGCATTCTAAGGGTGGAAGGACCATTTCTACCAGTGTTCCTTTAGACCCTCCTTATTCTTCATAATGGAATCTTGGGCTTTCCATAGGACATATTCCAGTTATCTGCTGGGATTACTAGGGTAGATTACTGGGACCTGGGATGGCATATAATATCTCTTGGGGCTGGAGAGCAAAGCAGTGAAAGAGATGGGATGTTTACATGGATGAAGGAAAACAGACTTGGAAAGCAGTGTTGATAACCTCTGCCTTTGTAGTGCCATTATAACAGTTCTACAGCCCCTATCATGAGTGGAGGAACAGTGTCTTCCACTGGAATGGTCTTTGCTATGGCCTAATGCCGATTAGTACACTGCACCTTGGCTTGCTGTGTGTTAATGGAGTTCCTTTTGTGCAGTCTGTCATTTGTGTAGGCACTTAAGTTCCACCAGAGTGTTTGTGGTAGTTGAGGACACAGGGGAACGGGGAGCCAAGAGGAGAGGGCATACTAATTACGGAAGACAGGATATTTTGAGTGAAGGAGTGTGGTAAGTTGGATAGGACTTATTCTGTGGTGGTATGGAAGATGAACCAGTCAGATTCTCTGCAGGAGGCAGGATAGGTAAAGCAGGGATCCTTAGAGTACTGAGTTGGTATGTTCAGTTTGATTCAGCAGTTTAAGAATGGCAAGTAGAGGATAGGTGAAACTTAAAACTGGCAGGCATGCATTTCTAAGAGAGTACACCTTAACCACTTTGTGGGAAAAGATGATAAATTTGTAGACTTCTAAGAACTTCCCTGTCCCAGAACTGCTAACACCTTATGTGGCATCTTGTGGATTCCTTGACGAGAAAGGAAGTTTCTCCCAATATTATCCTAAGGCTCTCAACTATCAATTTTTGGGTATTTTTGGAGGCAGTTTTGCAGGAGGTGATAGAGCACTGGTCAGGTGTTCATGGAATGTCATGTTAAAGTAATAATAAGCTGTCAACTCAGAAGACTACAGTCCACTGTGAAATCATGCAAGAAGTTGTGGGCAATGTATATGTGGCACCATTGTATATTAGAGGGCTATTCTACAAGTGAACTCACAGATAGGCACCTCAGAAGTCAGAAGACCTACTGCTATATGGGGGTCAAGAATAGGCAGGAACAAGAAATAGTTACAGTCTCATTTCACTGAAATCTCATACTTATTCTGGAAGTAGGCCTTATTATTTTTCTTGAGCACCTGTGTGACTCTATAGGGACTGAGAAGAGCCTGAGAAATTGAGTATTAAGTTGATCACTCAAGAAGGCTTAGGCCGCAACATGGGCTCTCAGGTACAGGCTCTCCTCCCTCAGCCCCCCATAGTTGTATCCATTATTGACACATAACTCTTTGGATCTGGGAAGTTCTGAAACTGAAGTAAAGCCAGTAGTTGGTCAGGTTTTGGGCCTCCAACTAGGATGACATAATCATGAAGTTTGAGTAGCAGGTGGCAGTACTGAGCAATCAACAGATTACTTCTTGGGCATTATGGTAGGGATAGTTTACTGGCTCTCTGTTTCATTCCTGAGTAGGTGGGTAGTTGCAGTGTCAGCCTGCATTAGTGTAACTTTGAGTTACAGTGGGGAAGCAGCCATGCCTCTTGATTAAGACTCGGTCCATAAAGTTGCTGTATAATATTGCCTCCTGGAGGCAGTTCCCCCCCATCCATAGTTCTACCAGATGTAGAACAACTGTTCTTGCTAATGAGGTCTGGGATGCTGTAAACATTGATAGGTCCTTGTCCTCATTTTTTTGCCAGAATGAATAATATCAGTGGACCTGAAAAGATGTGGACCTACTGGCAGTGATGTGTCTTATTTTTGCTGCAAAAGTTAAGTAGTTCAGAGGGATTGAGGGGAGCTTGGGCACAGGTGGAGGTAACCAAGATTACAAATTAGGGGGATCAGTTCTAGAACAAAGCCTTGGAGCCCCTTACAAAACTAAGGCAGTATAAAATATGTCATTTCAGCATAACACAGTTGGCCCTGCCCCTTGTTCCGCTAGGAGCTTTAGATAGGGTTGGTTAACTTCTATCAATAGGAACACACTAAATTTGGAGGTTAATATTGCTGGAAGGCCAGAACAGTAACAACCAAGTGAATTAAGGTCAATTAGTGTGGATTTTAACTTTTCAAGAAGAGGGTCTTACTCTTTTTTTTTGAGGCAGAGGATAGGAGAATCCCAGCCTAAGCTGGTTTCTTCTATCATCAAGAACTACTTAAGTTGAAGGGAAGGAAGTAGACAGTTCAGAGGTGAAATTGTGAAATTGACTTCTTACTTTTACCCTGTGTAGATCCTGTGAATTAAGAGGAACCATCTAATGGAATAGTTGACCATATTTAAAATACTTTGCTTTAGATTATATTAATTATATTGATCAGTTTCTACTTAAATTTCCATGACGAGTAAAGGGGATTGGGAAGAGGTACACCACGAGGCTCTTCCCATGGTATGGACAACTACAAATAATGTACTCTCTACTGTGCTGCTTCTCGTCTATAGCTGTTGGGAGCTTCAGTCTAACTTGGATCTTCACCAAAGTAAGGTGAGACTAGAGACTATAGTATAGAAGTTCCATCCTTGGCTATGAATTGTATTTCACTCCTGTTTGGTCTGTGACACAATTTACTCACCATAAGTCCACAGCTCCTTACTTAAGAAAATGATGGTATGAAATGTCAGGATGTTTCAGGAAACCAAATGTATGATCTGCAAGAAGAAAATAACTCCAAGGAGAGATGAGATCTGCCTTCACATCATTAAGGATTTTTGGATGAAACATTTGCAGAGGGCCTAGAAGACTCACTTAGGTAAGCTGAAGGGACAGCTCTAGGAATAACTGGAAGTGGATGATGCCAGTTATCTTCGTGTATGGTATGGGTAAAATGGTACTAACCTCTATGCTACCACTCTCAAGGTACGTATACCCCCTCATTGGTTGACAGTCACTGGTTTATGGGATTGAACAGGAGGTGAACCTTCAAGAACTAGTTTATGATTGATACAGATATGAATCATTGTTTTATTCTCTTAATACAGTCAATAAAAGTGTGACTAATTACACATTTTTCCTAATTAAAATATTTTAAAAGGATAATAACTTTTACTTTGGAACACATTAAATATGATAGTGTCAGTAGTTTGACTTCCTTTGAACTAATCTAGAAATGTCTACTGGTTAAAAGGCTACAAATATTACAAATAAAAGTTAACAAGCATGTTACATAATTTGGTTAATCACTAAAATAACACAACTGGAATGTATTTCTTCTTAGCAAGATGAAATGTTAAAGAACTCAATTCAACAGAAGACAGGAAGGTGAAAAAAAGAGCAAAGAAAAATGAAAAATATGGTAAAAGAAAACCCATAATGGCATGGCAGAAATAAATACAAATATATCAGTAATTAAAACATCATAGGATGGAATTTCTGTCAAAAGGAAGCAGTATTGAAGCTTAAATTTAAAAAGTTAGCTATATGTAGTTAAAAGGTATATACTTAAACATAACAGAAAATAAGACATGAAGAGGCATAAATTAACCAAAAAAAAGCTGGCATCATAATAGTAGACAATCTATTTTGAGGGGATAATCATTACTAAAGATGAAGTGAGACTGAATATAAAAGGAACAATATACCAATAAGTTATAACAATTAAACTTGTATAATCTAACAGCCTCAAAATATAAAAAGTTAAAATTGAAGATGACAAGAAATGTTCCAATTTGGAAAGAAATTAAACTGCCATTTGTGAGTTCAGAGAAACTAGGCAATGAGAAAGTAAAATAACTTATACTAGATGTTAGCATTTCAGTCTTTAATGCTCACCACTTACTGTATCATCACTTCTAAGGGTAGAAAAAAATGAAAACATTATAGCAGGTAAGGTTTTTGTTACTCTTAAAACCTTGTCTTTTTCCATGCATGCTTCTGTGAAAATTGTTATTCACTTGCTTTTTGAGTAGAAATGCCAACAAATATACCTGTTCAATGAGTCCTTTCTAGATTATTAAAAGAGAACAATCCCATGGCCATACTTTTACCAATTTTCCTGTTAGTTCAATAGTAAGTGAAGGTGAAGGGAGGACCACCAGTTCTGTGTTCCTCATTTGTGTTCTCTCATTTACTCTTTCCATCAACCCTAGTAAGCATTCTTTCAACTCTGTTTAACTGATAAGAAATTGAGACACCAGAGAAGTTAAGTAACTTAGCTAAACTTATACAGCTTATAAAACAGGAGAGCCTAGACTCAAACTTGTTTTAGTGCCAGAGCCTCAGCCCCATCCTTAACACCAACACCACAACAATCCCGGAGTGTGTACGGAGCCTTGTATTGTGAGGAAGAGGAAGTAGTAAAATCAGATCCAGAGATCTGAAAATGAGAAGTCTAAATAAGAACACTTAATTGAAATACATTAATCAGTGTTTCATGGTGAGGAGTTAGTTCTTGATAGCTAGATTATGAGTGCCATATGAGTGCCAAACATATGAGTGCCAAAAAAGAAACCTAGGAAAAATACTTACCTTATAATGAAATATATTTCTTTTCTTGCTTTCAATAGTTTCCTTTATATATGCTGCTTATGTGTATTGGTGTAAATGGTTAAAGACTTTAATAACTTTATAGTCTCTTTTTTCTTTTTCCTTAAGATTATTTCTTATTTTCAGAAGTGTTCCAAATTTTTGAATCCAACAGTTCTCTAAGTGAAAGTATGTTGTCATAAATTCATGAATCCAAGTATTTAAAAATAACATTTTACTAATTAATACTTTATACATTTATCTCTAAACATGAAAACATGGCAATATTCAAATTTTATTTGAATTAACTATTATAGTAATAAAGCCAGAGAATTTTATGAGGTCACACTGAAACTTTTTCATTTCATACATACAGTTTTAATACAAACAAACTTATTACAAGGCTCATCTACTTACTAACAATTTAAGTTCTACGACTTTACTGAACATTTATTACTGTATTCTTATGACATCTTTGCTAACAAGCTTGCAGGAACCAGATTAAATGCCCTTGACTCCAGTTACTACCAAAGCAAATACCACCCTGTTAGCTAAAATGCCACATATTGGATAACTCCTGGTAAACTATATCTGACATATGTCACATATGACAGTCAAGACGTGTTTTAACTTCTACAAATTCTGTAGAGACTCTATTATGAATTTCATAAAGAACACTGTCATATTTTACTTTTTTAATGAAATGTAGCTAAAGTTGGACATGGGTTACACCTTGAAGAAGTTTAGGATGAAACCTATGTGTATATAGGTCTCTTGGTTATCATCTAAATTGTATATTAAAGTCCTTGTTAACATGGAAGCTAGGAACATCTACATCTTTATGTTATAAGTAATTTCTTCCAAACTCTTTAAATTCAAACTATGCAGTCCCAAGTTAGCAAGGCATGATGGGTACTTTCCCAGTATTTGCATTGTAGATTATGACTTGCTAATAGTATCAGAGTGAAATATTATAAAAAAATATCCTACATCATCTACATAATCTACATTCTTAACATTACCATTAAAATTCACTTACTAAAGGAATTTACAAAGGCTTTCCTACAGCAAAGACTCTTCAGTCCTGGTAAATTCAAATTATTGCATTAACTCTTCATATTTAAATTTCTGTAAAAATTATTCTATGGAAACTCCCTAAATTTTTTCAAAGAGAAACTTTTTAGTCCTGAGTTCAGTTTCATTTTACAACTCATTACTGGAATGTAATTAAATAAATCAAGTTACAGTGTATAAGAAGCCCATTTTGGTATTATAGAAGAAAATTGTTAAGTACTAAAATAAAATGAATTGTTTGAAAATACGTATGGTTAATTGCATGAAAATTGATGGTTGGACGTTCATACCATTTTAAGATTTGGAAGGAGTGTTTTTTGCTGAATATAATAGAAATATTCTTAACGTTCATGATGACATTGACCCAGTTAAAAGTCTATTAGTTAATAATCCTCAAAGAATAAACTTTTTTCTTATTAAAATGTCCACATAAAAATCAGCTTATGGATAAAATAATCTCCCTGCCTGAATAAAATAATCCTAAGGTTGACTTTATAGGGTAGGAAAAATTTACATCTATTAGTATCTTTTAAAACATAGTTTGCATAATAGGCATATTAATAAGGATTTTAGGGAGTTTCTTTTATGTGTTGTTAAAAGTATGTTATAGAAGTGGATATTCTGTAGCTTTCTTTGGTACCAAAGTTAAGACATTTTGAAAACTAAGATCTTAAATATGACTAGCAAGAAACACACTGAAAGTATTAAAAATAATCTCAAATTGTTACTGTATACTTTAAAATTGCTATCCTTTAGATTTTTTCTCCAGAACAAAAAAAAAAGATATGCTTTTTTAGGTAATACTTTTTATATTAATTAAACATTTCCTTTGTGTACTATCATTGGTTGTTTCAGAACTATATGAGGCTAAGGTTTAGTCTTATCTTAGTTCATTTTTATATCATGACTTATAACAAAAAGCTAATTGTAACAATTATAACATGTAAACATGTGATATAACATGTAACAATTATAACAAAAAGCTAAAATGACATAAAAAGATAATTAAAAGCTAAAACATTGATCTCATAGTTATTAAAGCTGCTTTTGCTATCATGGATATGTTATATTATGTTTTATATTAGCTATAATATATATAGCTATATATATATTTATATATATAACATATGTTTTATATTAGCTATAAAATAAGAGGAAAATATCACAATTTAAATGGAACAGGTTTTTTTTTTTAGGGATACATTGACTTTAACACTACCTGCATTTTTTCTTTATTTTATATCTGAAGAGAAAGATGAAGTAATGTCATCTTTACAGAATTTAGTAAATGCACTGTGGAAATACATGAAAACATTTTGGTAAAGAGAACATTTGCCTATAATATATTACCTAAGAAAAATACCAATGTAAATCTGTTTTTGAAGCAAAATGCAATTATTCTTGGACTCTAGAAATTTATTAGTTTTAGAAAAAAATGCTCTGGTGTATACCTAATAAGCATGAATTATAAATATGGGATTAAAATGTATACTGAAAATACCAGACAAGTGGAGTATTAGATTGTTTCATCATATTTTGATTAGGGCTCCAATTATAGAACATTGGACCATAACATATAGCATGCTACTTTCAAAATTAATGTAGAAAAATAAAATATTCTCAATAGATGGATTGGCCTTTGGGTGTGTCAGAATATCTTTATATTATTTATTCTATAACTGTGCTATATTACATTTTATTCCTAAAGATAAATATTTTAGCCCAGAAACGTTTTGGTGAAATACTCCAAAAATATATACATCAATGGTAGTTCATCATTCTTCATGAGTCAGGGTTAAAAAAAGTTAACTCGTTATAACTGGGTTTTCTTTCTAATATTATAAGAAAGTTTTTTTTACAAGAAAGTTTTAATATATAATTAAAAAAATATGTAATTCTTACTCTTTCCTAATAGAGGTGCAAACCAACTCTAGTTATATGAGTGGACATAAAATTTAAGTAGTGAAGAAAATAAGACTCCTAGCATTGTGCAATCAAATTTAAATAAATGCTATAATAAATTTCCATGTAGTCAGTTTAAATATTACTTATTTATGTAATAATTTCTATTCTTTATTATTGAAAAGAATATGTTTTTGCAGAAGAAAATTGGGATATATATTAAACAGGCAGCATTTAAAGAGAAGTTGGCATGGCCATTTTTTAATTTAAAAAGTTCTACTTAGTGTGGTGTTTTTTTAATAATAAACTTTTCTAATCTGTAAAAGCAGACAATCAAGCTTTGTATTTAAAAGGTGAAAAATAATGTCATGGTTAAGTTTTACTTAATCGAAGTTAATGTTTTGAAAGTCCAGAAATCTCACAAACTAAGACCTGAATGAAAGATACAAAGGAATATTGACAGTGCCACTGTGTTAAAAGAAGAAAAATGTGTTGAACTGTACATGATATGTGCAGTGAATGCTTATACTTGCTAAGATGCTCTAAGAACCCTTACACTTCCCATATGAATAAAAAAAGAGGGCCAGAGCTAGATATGGAGATACCTTTAAGTATATTTAAGAGTAGTGTCAACTTTGGCCATAGTAATTGATATAAAATACATGGTCATATGACAGATTTCCAGATATTATATATACAAATTGTCTATATATTAATATCTGGCAAAATTTCTGATGTAAACCTAGGATTTGAAATGTCTTATCAAAAATATTTAATATAAGTAGAATATAAACAAACCTAAATATAATGAAAACAAAGTAATGTGGAAGCTAGAATCATCTATAGATATTATCTCCCTAATAAGATAGATTTTTGAATTTATCTTATTGCAACAAATGACTTGTTCCTATGTATATTCTGTATATATGCCATGCTGTGTCTAAAAAATATAAAACATCTGGAATAAAACTGTAAAATCCAAACACCAAAGATGTTTTTAAGTGGTTGTATATGACATTATCATGTGGTAAGAGCCAGATGATGACCAAACTTTTCAAACTTTATCAAGATACTTGTTCTATATATATAACCTTTGTTCTGTTTGTTACAGATTTTAAGTCTGTGTTATTTAGGTGTGTGTGAATTAATAAAGGAAACCATGATTTTATCCTGTACCTCCAATGTTCTGGCTACTAAGATTTTTTTACCTCCCTTAAAAAAAACCAAAAACATTTAACCTTAGGCACATCAAAATCCCTCATATTTTTTACCAGACCACACATGGTGCTAGTTGTTTTCTATTATTGGATAAAATAGTTATCCAAGACTCTACTTTAACAAGATCAGTGGAAGAAGGTGGAGTAAAAATTGAATCCTCTGCTCTGATATCTTTTCTAGGATGAAAGTGTGGGCTTCGAGAATATCGAGGTTTCAAACCTACAGATGAAGGTTGAGAAAGCTGCTTCTCACAGAATGTAACCTTGGTTCCTATTAAGAGGCTTAAAGAAAATTAGGGTTTTATGCACAGTAAATGGCTCTTATTTTATTACCTAAGGGAAATATTTTAAAAATAATATTAATGGGGCCTGGATTCTGAGGAGAGAAAGGTGTACTTTAGGAAATTCCCACTACAGAGAGTAGGCTACTTTATAACCTGCTTAACTGGAAGGCATCCTAGGGCTATAAAAAACTGCAAAGGACCTGAGAATAGCCATATCTAGTGGCATTTCTAAATTATTGTTATACTTCCTTCTTGGTGCCAGCTCTAAACTTTGGTAAAGATTCGTTTAAAAAAAAAAAAAGAGTGATATGCACAATTAGAAGGCAGATCCTATGATTTAGAAAGTGACTAGAGAAAATCAGATATTAGTAAACTCTGGTATTAATGGAGTAACATCCTACTGTTAATTAAAATATCCATGAATAGATTGAGTTCCAACAAATGATTTTTATCTGATCCACTGCTGAACATAGGACTGATGGAGAAACTGCTTTGCTCAATACACTTGAAAATATAAAAATTTTAGCTAAGGCATCTCTTAATGACTAAATGCCTACTTCAGAGCATTAGTATTTAGCCCAATCCTTTTGTCTAAAAAAGCTCTTCTTTGCTTTGCCTTTAGATATTGTTGTTCAGTTGCTAAGCCATGTCTGACTCTTTGTGACCCAGTGAACTGCAACACTCCAGGCTTCCCTGTCCACTATCTCCTGGAGTTTGCTGAAACTCATGTCCATTGAGTCAGTGATGCCATCCAAACATCTCATCTTCTATCGCTCCCTTCTCCTGCCCTCAATCCTCTTTCCCAGCATTAGGGTCTTTTCCAGAGTCAGCTCTTTGCATCAGGTGGCCAAGGGACTGGAGCTTCAGCTTCAGCATCAGTCCTTCCAATGAATAGTCAGGGTTGATTTCCTTTAAGAATGACTAATTTGATCTTTTTGCTATCCAAGGGACTCAAGAGTCTTCTCTGGCACCACAATTCATAAGTATGAATTCTTTGGCACTTAGCTTTCGTGGTCCATCTCTCACATCTGTACATGACTACTGGAAAAACCATAGCTTTGACTATACAGTCCTTTGCCTTTAGATGATTTTAATTTAAATGTTGTGATTCAGGGCTTCTCAGGTGGCGCTAGTGGTGAAGAACCCCCTTGCCAATGAAGGAGACACGAGACACTGTTCATCCCTGGGTCAGATCTCTTGGAGGAGGGCATTGCAACCTACTCCAGTATTCTTGCTTGGAGAAATCCCATGAAAAGAGGAGCCTGATGGGTCACAGAGTCGGACATGACTTGAAGAGACTTAACACGCATGCACATTGTGATTCAAGAAGAATGGAAGCATCAAGGAGCCTAAGTTTATCTCATAAAACTGAATAAAACACTGGAAGTAGCATGTAGGCTAAATCAATTGCCCAGCTTGAATGAGACGATAGAAATTGTACAGGTGTTCCAGTAGCTCTTCTAAAACTAGCAATTTATCTATAGTTAAGGGAAATTAACTAAAGCTTCTAAGATAAAAAGCCTCATTTCTCTGAAGAGGTATGGTTGATTATTGTAATTTGCAGGATTTGGATATACATGCCATTCTATTGACTTAAGACTGAACACATCTACTGATAATGAAACAACCTGCCAATGGTAGAATAGTTAACCATCAGGAGTAAGTCATAAAAACAATGGGTATTCTATAGCATATCAGATCTAGATGCTTCTAGGGTTAAAAAATGTTTTCAATTGTGCAGTTACATAGAGAATTTACTTATATCACTTAAGGATACTTTGTGAAGGTACAAAATAGTCTTCTAGTCAGAAAAGTATTTATAAAGTATTGTAAAATAAATGAAAATGTATTAGGTTGGTGCAAAAATAATTGCAGTTTTAGATTTGTTGAACTTTGTCATTTGATATTGGGATATATACTTAAATGTGATTATGTTATACATCATTTTAATGCACATTTCTTGCTTTTTTTTGCTAATCACTTATTACTTGTTTATTTTACATTTATATTAGAGTACAGAAAGGATTAGATAAAAAGCAAATATGAGCAATTTTTTGTTCAAGTTCAAAATAGGTTGCAAAGCACACTGGAGACAACTCTCAACATCAACAACACATTTGTCCCTGGAATTGCTAACAAACGTACAGTGTGGTGGTGTTTCAAGAAGTGAGAGCCTTGAAGATGAGGAGCATAGTGGCCTCCCATCAGAATTTGGTAATGACCAACTGAGAGGATCATTCAAGCTGATCCTCTTAACAACTACATGAGAAGTTGCTGAAGAACTCACTGTTGATCATTCCACAGTCATTTGGCATTTAAAGCAAACTGGAAAGGTGAAAAACTCCATAAGTAGGTGTCTTATGAGCTGACCAAAAAAAAAAAAAAAAATCATTTCTAAGTGTCATCTTCTCTTATTCTACACGACCACACATAATAAACAATTTCTTAATCAGACTGTAACATGTGACGAGAGGTGGATTTTATATGGCAACCTGTGATGACCAGCTCAATGGCTGGACTGAGCAGAAGCTCTACAGCACTTCCCAAAACCAAAGTTGCACCAAAAGAGGTCATGGTCACTGTTTGGTGCCGGTCTCATCCACTACCGCTTTTTTTTTTAATTCTTAAGTTTTTTTTAAAATTGGAGGATAATTACAATTTTGCAGTACAGCTTTCTGAATTCTGGCACAACCACTACATCTAAGATGTATGCTCAACAAATTGATGAAATGCACTGAAAACCACAACGCCTGCAGCTGGCATTGGTCAACAGAATGGGCAATTCTCCATGACAATGCCTGACTACATGTTGCACAACCAATGCTTAAAAAGTTGAACAAATTGGGCTATGAAGTTTTGCCTCATCCACTATATTCACCTGGCCTCTCGCCACTATAGTCACCTGACTTCTTCAAGCATCTCGACAATTTTTTGGAGATATCAAAAGCACTTCTGATACCAGCTTCCAAACCAGAAGGAGGTTTGCTGCTTCCAAACCAGCAGGAGGCAGAAAATGCTTTCCAAGTTCATTGAATCCTGAAGCACAGATCTTTACACTGCAGAAATAAGCAAAATGTGTTGATTCTAATGGTTCCTATTTTGATTAATAAAGATGTGTTTGAGTCTAGTTATAATGATTTAAAACTCATGGTCCAAAACTGCAATTACATTTGTACTAACCTAATAGTTATCAAAATAAGTGTTGCGGTTTCAGTGATATTAAGCTATATTTAACTGTGGGCACTGTTAGAATTTTTGAGCTAAGGAGACTTCAGTAGGCAATTATGATAGTGATGCATTTATCTTGGAATAACACATTCTATTAGTATAAAAACTGGGCTTCCCTGGTGGCTCAGTGGTAAAGGGTTTGCATGCTCATGCAGAAGTTGTGGGTTCAGCCTCTGGTCCAGGAAGATCCCCTGGAGAAGGAAATGGCAACTCACTCCAGCAGTCTTGTCTGGAGAATTCCATGGACAGAGGAGCCTGGTGGGCTATAGTCCATGGAATCACAAAGAGTTGGACACAACTTAGCAACTGAAAAACAACATCAGTATCAACAGTAGCATGAGTTTGGTACTTTTCATTAGGATATAAAAAACGAGAACTAGGAAACTGGAGCCTATTATACAGAGTGAAGTAAGTCAGAAAGAAAAACACCAATATAGTATATTAATGCATATATATGGAATTTAGAAAGATGGTAACGATGACTTGATATGCAAGACAACAAAAGAGACACAGATGTAAAGAACAGACTGTTGGACTCTGTGGGAGAAGGCGAGGGTGGGATTATTTGAGAGAATAGCATTGAAGCATGTATATTATCATATGTGAAATAGATTGGCAGTCCAGGTTTGATGGATAAGGCAGGGTGCTCAGGGCAGGTGCACTGGGATGACCCTGAGGGAAGGAATGGGGAGGGAGGGTCAGGATGAGGAACATAATTACACCCATGGCTGATTCATGTGAATATATGGCAAAAACCACCACAATACTATAAAGTAATTAGCCTCCAATTAAAAAAAAAAGATAACTAGAATAGCTCTTATCCCAAACAGCAAACACTACATGGAGGGTCTATAAAAACACTAGAAATTGCCTTGTTCAGTTGCTAAGTTGTGGCCGACTCTTTGTGACCCCATGAACTGCAGCACTTCATGCTTCCCTATCTCCTGGAATTTGCTCACACTCATGTCCATTGAGATGGTGATGCCATCCAACCAGCTCATCTGCTGTCGCTCCCTTTTCCTGCCCTCAATCCTCTTTTCCAGCATTAGGGTCTTTTCCAGTGAGTCAGCTCTTTGCATCAGGTGGCCAAAGGACTGGAGCTTCAGCTTCAGCATCAGTCCTTCCAATGAATATTCAGGGTTTATTTCCTTTAGGATTGACTGGAGTTTTCTCTAGCACCACAATTCAAAAGCATCAATTTTTTGGCATTCAGGGTTCTTTATGGTTCAACTCTCATGACTACTGGAAAATCCATAGCTTTGACTAAATGGATCTTTGTTGGCAAAGTGATGTCTCTGCTTTTTATTATGTTGTCTAGGTTTGTCATAGTTTTTCTTCCAAGGAGCAAGCGTCTTTTAATTTCATGGTTGCAGTCACCATTTGCAGTGATTTTGGAGCCCAAGGAAATAAAATCTGGCAGTGTTTCCACTTTTCCCACATCTATTTGCCATGAAGTGATGGAATCAGATGCCATAATGTTAGTGTTTTGAATGTTGAGTTTAAGCCAGCTTTTTCTTTTTTTAAATTTTATTTTTCTTAATATATATATTTTATTGAAGTATAGTTGACGTACAATGTTTCAGGTGCATAGCAAAGTGATTCAGTTATACATACACATTATTTTTGAAATTATTTTTCATTATAGGTTATTACAAGATAGTGACTACAGTTCCCTGTGCTATATAGTAAACCTTTGTTACTTGTTGCACATCTATTTTTTTAAATTAGAAATCTAACATTCTATTCATAGTAAGTCAAACAAGTGGAATCAAAATGTCATAAATTTTTTAGTTAGGCAAAAATACGTAAGTTTTCTTATATATTAACATTATTTATATATATGTATACAAAAGCTTTTCTACTATGTTTGATAAAGGCTTGAGAAAGAACATTAAAAAAAACAAAGAGATGGGGAAATTGGAAAATATAAACTAAATGAAATGGGAGCACTGAATATGAAATAGAAAAAGTGAAACAAACTAGATAAAAGTAAAAGATCATCATATAGTCCAGTTGTTTTTAAACATGGCTGCTCATTAGAAGGATATCTGGAGCCCTGGAAAGAAAAAGCAATACCCAGGCATTTGTATTTTCCAAAAAATTTTCAGGATAGTCCTGATATGCATCTGAATTTATTATTACATGGTAGTTTTGGTGATATAGAGTTCTATTACTTTTCTGTTGACCAATCATGATATAATGGTATTGAGTGAGTTACATAATCACAATCATAAAAGATATTTTATCAGTTTTCACAATCAGTAGCCAGACAAAATATTAGATAATTAGTTAATCATGGGAACATGATTAGCCTAATATAAAATAATTACATAAACAATTTTGGGGAGGTCAAGTAGACTGATGTGGTAAGTGGAAATGCATACATGCACATGTTTTCATCTGTCCAGCCTGTCTATGTCTTTAGGTTAGTG